AACTCTATTCAGGTTTTTTTTACCTCATTTTTATAATTTTTATTAGACTGTTTTTCACATTAAAAGAGGTATAAAAAGACGCAAAGTACGGAGCCGTCCTGTTCGATAAGACATTTATTGCCCGTCCTTATGCACATATTAAAATAAAGCGGTCAGTGTTGGCCACAGAGTGGCAGTATTCCTTTATACTGGGGGTCTGTCCTTACATAACCCCACTCTAAAGAGCCATACCTGGGTACTGGAAGAGTTAAAACCCAATCTCTTATCGTGTCCAGCAAACGAAGTACGTGAGACCTTTATCACCCGGCAATGCTCGGTTTATGTTAAATAGCATGTCACTGCGAATTCATTGACCACTGAGATATATGAAGCTATATTCTGTCTAAAGCGGGGGTGCGGGTGTCTGAAACTAGTGCACCAGCTGCTGTTACACTACATTTCCCATAATTCCCTGCCAGCTAAGGATGGCTACCCCTGGTTTATAGCATCCATCTAATAAATGACCTGTTATACAGCTGTATAATGGAGAGAAGTAATTGCCATTCACAGATCTGTATTGCAAAGCCAGGAGAGACAGCCATTTATTATTTTATTAGCACATTCTGCACCAGTAACCACTTCTACATAAACCGAAAACCAACAACAAAATGGCTGCTTAAAGAGTGGTATTAATTTTTAGTGGGGTTATTCTCACAGATAAAGTGTCAGGTAAAGCCAGATACAATGCCCACCTTCCTTTTAATAAAACGTGGTTGGTAGATTCGAGCCTGAGAGGTGGTCCAATATATGTAAGGAGAAAAATGGGACCCCTCAGGTGCCAACATTAGCTTCATTATGTTTTATCCAATAATATAGAGAGGGGAGGGAGAGCAGTTCCTCCAGTGCACTGCAGCCTTCAAGGCTCACTACTACAGTGCAGCACACAGCGGCCAGCAGCAATTTTATATAGAGATACTGTGCGTGGCTCTATAGATACATGCAAAAATATTAACAAATTGCAATGGCATCTTGAAAACTTGCATTCTGAGACTTTTTGATTATTTTTAATGATAATAGTAATAGGTAACTATTAAAGCATTATAATATTAGATGCACACACGCTGACCCCTCCCACCCCCCACCCCATCACCTTACATTTTGGTTGGAATTTCTTGGCAAACAGCAGAATATTTGTCTCTATACGAATTTGCAAATTTGGGGACAATAGCCGTTCGCTAAGTCACCAAATACATTTCCTACACATCAATGCCGGGTTGCAGGGCTAGATTAAAAGCCCATTGGGCCTGGTGCTGATGGTCACGATGAGCCTAATTACAGAATCTTATTAACGGAAACGCTAAAACAGCCGTACCTCCCAAGTGTCATGTATCTGGTGGAGGTTATACCTTACCAAGTGTCATGTATCTGGTGGAGGTTAAACCTCCCAAGTGTTATGTATCTGGTGGAGGTTATACCTTACCAAGTGTCATGTATCTGGTGGAGGTTAAACCTCCCAAGTGTTATGTATCTGGTGGAGGTTATACCTTACCAAGTGTCATGTATCTGGTGGAGGTGGTGCTGGAGGGAAACTCACTGGATTCAGTTATAAGAAAACACATACCCAATGCTAAGTTCTAGCTTTCATCTCTCAACCAAATCCATTCCCTTAACAGCAGCATCCGGTGAATTGGTAAGTTGGTGGTTAGGGTAAAAGGAGATGGGCCAGTGCTAATCACTTCATCGGCACTGCCCACAGTGGCAAGCTTTGCCTGGAAAGGGGGCAGGACTGCCCGAAGTATTGGAAGCTCAGCCAAGAGTGAGTGCACACCAGGCTGCCAGCCAATCACACAGGTTGGCCAACTAGGGGTGGACTATGCAGACAGCGTGGTTTCAGCACCCTGAGCTTGGTGCGAATGCGTCTAATGATGTGCTTTCTCTATGCTTTCCAGTGAAAGTTTTCTGGCATCCCCCAACACTTACTTGGCCACTCCTCTCCTTCCTTTCCCTTCTTACTAGCAGGCAGAAGCCCCTGCATGCAGTCTAGGACAGAGCAAAAGGTGGATGTGGTGAGTGTAGCAGAAAGGGGATATGCCACACTGCCACTATGATACAGAATACCACTATGATACAGAATGCCACTATCACTATGATACAGAATGCCACTATGATAGAGAATGCCACTATGATACAGAATACCACTATGATACAGAATGCCACTATCACTATGATACAGAATGCCACTATGATACAGAATGCCACTATGATAGAGAATGCCACTATGATACAGAATACCACTATGATACAGAATGCCACTATCACTATGATACAGAATGCCACTATGATAGAGAATGCCACTATGATACAGAATGCCACTATAATACAGAATGCCGCTATGATACAGAATGCCACTATCACTATGATACAGAATGCCACTATGATAGAGAATGCCACTATGATACAGAATGCCACTGTAATACAGAATGCCGCTATGATACAGAATGCCACTATCACTATGATACAGAATGCCACTATGATACAGAATACCACTATCACTATGATACAGAATACCACTATGATACAGAATACCTCTATGATAGAGAATGCCACCATGATAGGAATGCCACTGTAATACAGAATGCCGCTATTATACAGAATGCCACTATGATACAGAATACCACTATGATAGGGACTGAAGCAGCAAGAGCAATTGCACAGCGCATAGTCAGCTTTAACTTAATTAATTTATAGTCAGCCAATCAACACAAGTATTGTTCCCCTGCATCCCTCCTAAGTCCCCATACTTAATTTCCTCTGCCCAAAGCAAAAGCATGCGAAGAGTAGTAAAAAAAGTTATATTTTTTTCATTTTCTTTTTCTTTTTTTTTTTTAATCAATGGGCCTATTCATTGGGCCTGGGCCTGGGCCTGGGCCTGGGGCTATAGCTCCATTAGCCCCTATGTTAATCCGGCCCTGGCCTGGAGCTATAGCTCCATTAGCCCCTATGTCAATATGGTGCTGCGGGTTTGTGAGCTGAATATCGTACATGTATGCTTTTCGTATCTTAGGTTACACACTAAGCTGGTGCCATAAATGTGTAAAATACAATATTTTCCCATCTAAATGTTTTGATGAAATCTCTGTTAGCTCTACATGCAAGAAAACCAGAAATAATGTACGTGTACGACATTTCAACCGAATAGTTGGGTAAAATTGCTGACTGACCCGCAACTTCGCTCCCTCGAATAACACAAACTTTAACACTAAAATAGTGCGCTACAAATAAACCATCAGAGCAAGATGGATCACTACTCCTAGCGCCCACAGCCTTCTGTTTGTGTTATTGCAGCTCTCACGTCTGAGATTGGATTTACTTTTTTTTCTAATCATCTCCGGGTTTCTCTGCCGACATGTCAAGCAATCCATTTTAATGTGTTTTTTTTTTTTTTTTAATATGTTGCTTTTTTTAAACTTGACTGATTTTATTTTTAACTGAAACCACGTAGCCTAGAGTCAGTATAAATTATTTACACCTTTTTTTTTTTTTTTTTTATAGTGTGAATTATCAGAGATTGAAAGTGAATTGAAAACAATCTGAACACATTGCAGACTTGAAGAATCTTTCCGAATCGACTAGTCTGTCATCTGAAATTCTCTTTGAATTCTTATTGAAGTCCTGATAATACACATGTTCGTAAATAATCCTTTTACGCCCCTTACAATGCAATGCAGTATTGGCTGTATGGAGAACACATGTTCCAAGGGGAACAATTTCAGACCTGCAGCATCACAAATTGATGGCATTGACGTTAGGCAGCGGTGTGGCTAGGGGAAGCTTTGGGGGCCAAAGCCCTGGTATCGTATACTTTAACTCTGAATCTATTACCGTGGTAGAGGGGCAGCATAATCATAGTGTTTTTTTTTTCTTTTTTACATCTACCAGCTGTTAATCAAACAGCTGCCTAATATACGAAAGCTCATTAGCATAGTGTTCGTCCAGGGTACAAAGGAGGAGGGGATTGTCCCCCTGGGTGACAAACAGGAAGGGGTGCTGGGCTGAGGGACTGCACTCTAGTACTTTATCTTAATGAAGTAGTGTTGGTGTATAGATCATGCCCCTAAAGTCTCACTGCTCAATTATCTGCCATTTAGGAGTGAAATAATTTTTAGTCCTGAAAAATGAAACATTTTTTTTCATGCAGGCTGTGTCAGTCAGACATAAAAATATAGTCTTGGTGACTATAGTGTCCCTTTAACTCGTTTGGCTCGTCAGGATTGCATTAATTACCTGGTAATGAAGTATGTTCTTGTTTCAGGCTATTTTATCACTGAGATCTCAGCACACTTGGGCCTTGACTTGAATATTTTTGGATAAACTTTTCAAATTATCATAATCTGTTAGAATTTTAAAAAAAAATAATTTATCTACGGAATCCACAATTGAAGCGTCTTGGATTATCCTATAGATTAATAATTCGAAATGTTTTTCTAACAGACCGATCATTTGAAAAGTGAGTGTCTGCAGGGAGAGGTGGGGAAATAACTCTTGGGTCGATCATTAGAGTATCCCCGAATTAAAAGCCGTACCTGGATGTCCAAGCTTGTTTATTTTATGACATTTCCCCACCCGATGGGGGTACAGTAAGGCTATGAACCCCCTCCTCCCCCCAGTTATTTCACAGGCCCCACCGCATGGGATGGACAAAAATCAATGTTCAAAAAATGTTCTGTGAATACTCCCATTAGTAAATACCTCTGTAAGATCGTCATTGTTCTTTTTATGAAAAACAGATCAGTCATTATGGTGTGATGAGTTCAATTTAAACCCTATGGACAAATTAACTCAGTTTGGACAGTGACAATATTTGTAGTCACAGACTTGTTCATGCTGTGAAATTATGTTAATGTCTCTTTAATATTATTTAAATCCCCTGCAACGATTGTAACATTTAATATCACAGAGGATGCATGGAAAACAAGAGGGTCTGTTGTAATTCCCTGTAGTAGGAATAGGTTAAGTGCCCAGTTTAGTTTGATTTCTTACAGATCTATTTCAAATATTTGCATAGTTTATTTTTTAAATGTCATTTATTTCAGGCTAATGGAAGCTGTGCAGAGACCATTTTCCTTTACCATCTTTCGTATCACTAGGTGCTGTTTCAATTTGTAGCATCGTAACGAGTTCATTGTATTTTCTTTATATCTGTCCTACTCCAGACTTTCACAGACGCTGCAATGGCTTCTACAAACTGCGTTATTTTCTGACAATCCATTCAATCCTTCTGCCATTGATGGCCTCCTTACAACAAACACCCCACCATTTCAGATGAAAAATAGTTTTTTCCATTTTAGGGGATGTGGTCGGAAAGGTGACCACGGGGTGCATAATGTAAGCGACTTTATGACCTATTTGTAACCATTTATGTAACTGAAATGTAACTTAAAACCAAATCGAACTATCTCATTTAAACATTTATTGCAGCTTAAAGGGACACTCCAAGAACAATGTTGGTTAAGCGATTTCCTGGTCTGGGCCGAGGTAACTGAGTAAGCTGCAAACCCAGGGTATTTGCAGCATAGAACTTCAAAGGAGAATATCTGTTTTATTTAATTTCATAAAATACATAATCCTTAGAGTGCATTTAAATAATGGGTTTTAACTCCAGCTTATTGTGAGTTTTATTGCTGCAAAGCTCTGTTACACACCAGTCATTCAGAGATCCTGGAAACATGGGATACTAGACTAGACAAGAGGGACAGTTGGAAGTCTATAGAGTGAACGGCTATTCAATGTAATCGGTTAATTAATTAGCTGTTTCTGAATGAGTGAATGAGATGTGAGCACCAGAATAAAGAGTTCTATGTATCAAATAACTTCTATTATACAGTTCATTAAAATAAAGCAAAAATTAAAAAAACACACAACAAGCTCTAAAATGCAGGGCGTAGGGTGAGAGTGTCTTATGAATAATTTTAACATGATTTTCATAGATCTAGCGTAAATGAGATATTTGGTTGCTGCGTTTTACCTTCATCATTAAACCTCCACAGATTGGTTATTGGTCCTGTATCTCTGACATTGGTAACGCGCAGCTTAATATGACTTCAATTTATTATCGTCGGATAACCTTCACAAATAATTGAATATTTTGGATAACCTTAAAAAAACGTTTTTTCTAAATATTTGAATATTAAAAATGTATCAATATATCATAAATTGTGAACATATTACAACATTGAAAGCTTATCCAAAAATATTAAATCAATATTAAATCAAGGACAAGTTTATAATAGGTGAAAGTCACCTTCTAAAAAGTATTTAAACTCTACTAATGTAATAAATAGATTTTTTTGTAGTGATAATAAAGGGGTTATAGAGATAGTCATCCATAAAAACTGTCCCAAACTGACACAAAAGTGCTGACCTAGACCTAAATAGGGGACAGTGAGGACACATTGGTCGCCATTAGAGTGTACCTGGACACACCCCTTGTGCACTCCTGTGATCCCTGCATTCTTTTATCTTTTGTTTCCAGTACGTTTCATTCACCCATCGTACAACGCTGCCGAATACGTTGGTGCTTTGTAAACGCCTTGTATTCCATTGATTAGTAAATTAAACCAAAGTGTGTTTTATTTATTTTAATGTCGCCGTATACACTGTATTTTTTCTGTGTCATAGTTATTACAGATCGTTGACACTATGCTCGTTCCCTTGGCTGTATTCTCTTTGTTTGAAATTCCACAGAATTCCGTATTTCAAAACTCCTGTGTGCATCCTAATGAAAGTATGAATCCTGTAATAGTTTGTTTTAGATAAGTTTCCATAATAGATTGAGATCAATACATGTCATGGTGTTACGTTAGATTATCGTCCAGCTATCAATGTCTGGCTTGTATAATCATTTCTCATTCCTCTTGTTTTTTGGCTGCACTCGCTGATTGAGTTAGCAGTCTGGTAATATAAGTTGTTAGGTGAGCCGACAATCATTTTCACACATCTCCACCCTCTGACATGTGAAGGAAGGACCATTAGAGTATATTCTGGGTCACCGTTAGATTATACTTAGAGTTACCGTTAGATTATACTTAAAGTTACCATTAGATTATACTTAGGTTTGCCATTGGAGTATACTTAGGGTTACCGTTAGATTATACTTAGGGTTACCGTTAGATTATACTTAGGGTTACCGTTAGAGTATACTCAGGGTTACTGTTAGATTATACTTAGGGTTACCATTAGAGTATACTTAGGGTTACCGTTAGATTATATTTAGGGTTACCATTAGAGTATATTTAGGGTTACCGTTAGATTATACTTAGGGTTACCGTTAGAGTATACTCAGGGTTACTGTTAGATTATACTTAGAGTTACCATTAGAGTATACTTAGGGTTACCGTTAGATTATATTTAGGGTTACCATTAGAGTATACTTAGGGTTACCGTTAGATTATACTTAGGGTTACCATTAGAGTATACTTAGGGTTACGATTATATTATATTGGGTTACCTTTAGAGTATACTTAGGGTTATTATTATATTATATTGGGTTACGATAAGAGTATACTTAGGGTTACCGCTAGATTATACTTAGGGTCACCATTAGAGTATACTTAGGGTTACCATTATATT